GGACCAGACCGCCCCGCCGGCCTCACCGGGACGGGCAGGGGCTCCACGCCGGCTCCTCCGCGTTACAAAAACCCAAGTAGCTCAACCCTTAGAAATCCCCTTAAAATAAGTCCTGAGCAGGGCAGCAAAAGCGGAGGAGGCTGAAGCGGGGCTGGGACCTTCCCTCTCCCTCCAAGGAGGAGGCTTCTCCCACCCTCGACATCCATAACCAGGAGCGCTGGGTGGAAGCAGCTCTGCTTGCTCGGCCAGATGCCACCCACCTCCTTTGCTTTCCTAAAACGTGGCTGTTGGTGCTGATTTTTGAGGAAAATAACCGTGAATGCTGAGCAAGAGGCCAAGCCTCCAGTTTGTCAGCAAAGTGGTTCGGGTTACGCTGCGCATTCTTGCACCTGCACAGTGCGAGACGCAGGAAAGGGCAGCTCGGGGGGCAGAGAAGCAGGAACTACCAAAAATCACCACTCGGAGAAGCACGTGCAATCCCGGTGATTTATTGAGGCTCTAGAAGATGAATTCTGGGCAGTCTTCAGCTAAGCCCCTTTTTGAGATCAGAAAGCAGAGACCTGGCAGCACCTGGAAGCGCACAGGAAAAGTCCATATTTTGCAGGCAAGGAGAAAAGAAAGGTGGAAGGAAAAAAACTCAAACTTTACACGTTTTCTGCTTTATTGTAGCTGCACTGCGGCTAACATCAGCGACACTCGTTTCACTAGAGGCAGTTTGCTAATTTCAACGCCGTTTCTCACCCTGCAGCACGGCTCCTCTTTACAAACCAGGCCAGGCACTTCAGTTTGGACCTGCTCCTGAAAACCAGCGTTACTCTCCACCAGGGCACGTGACATTCAGCACTTTACAGCTCTCCTAACTCCCAAGGTAACTGTTTGTACACAGTTTTTGGAATCATGTTTCCTCTGTGTCCCTCCTTCCCCCCCCCAAAAAAATCTGACTTATGGAAGATTTACAGTAGAAATCTGTTTGGTTATAAGGATCCTAGACTAAGAACCACATGTGTGTATTAATTGTTGAAAATTGTTAAAGTAGCTAGGAGATATTTACAAAGGCCACCCAAAATCCTCGGAAGGATTGTACGTGTTCTCATTAGTGCATTGAAATGGCATTGCCAGGCACGGGACGCGTGGGTATCTGTTCAGCAAAGTCTCATTACTGAGGGTAATGCTCCACTATCATCGCGTGGCCCTGAAACGAAGAGAGAGGAACGGTCAGGAAAATGGGATGGCTCCGTGCACGGACAGGAGAGGGGTAAAGGGCGACTCCGGGAGCGTTACCTGCCCTCCTGCAGCGCACGCAGCCACCAGGCAGTACTGGCCACCCTCCTTCTTGAGCCTGTGAGCGGCCGGGATGACCAGGCGGCAGCCGGGGGC